AAAACACTTCACGAAGTCGTACAATGTTTGGATGAAAAGACATCAATTGAAGTGCTTTAATTTCTCTACAAGCAGTAAATGAGTAAAAGACAGATCAAAACCTTAATGCAGTGTACGGAATACCCTCATTTAATCTGCGAATAGGAACCTTTTTAAGAGCAACAAGTTCACCCGACTACAGAAAATTTCAAAAATCACAAATACCTCTTTATGCCTGCCTTTGAGAACGACACCATGAGCTCCCTCTCCGATCAGAGATAGAACCCGATATCTATCCATTTAAAGAGTTGGTAATTTACATCAATGATTATTTTGCATTACTTGATGAAATAAAACAAACTACATGTTTAAAAAACAAAGCTTTAAAGTTTTAATTATTTCTTGACAAATTTTTTTACAGTTATTACTGTTTGATACCGTATTATAGGAACATATATATTGTATACTGTTTAGGGTACGAGTTAAAAGTGCATAACTCAAAAAAACTTTTTAATGAGACTTTGCATTTTCTTTTTGACTTTACTTTTTGTTTAGTATATATGTCAAAAATTACAAATGTATATTTTGGTTTCACTAATTTTTATAAATTTTTACATATTTTTGTTTAGTTGCTTCACACATCAGTTGATACATGGACTTTGACATTACGTTCATTGTGTACTGGCCAATCGGTGGTGGGCCGTCGGCGCCTGTTTCAGTTGGTGATGCTGATGGCTTCAAGTTTGGCGACTTCTAGTCGGCGGTTCTTGGTTGGAGTCTGCTCTATCCCTTTGTTTCGGCGAAACGTTCACGTAACAACGCCTTGCTGCTACTATGTTGAAGGTTCGCATGAACCCTTTGCTCCAATTCCTGACCGCTTTCCCCGTTGGGCAACTTCTGGGGAGGACGCTTTCTCTCATTTGAAAGATGGAGCCAAGGTTTTCGTTCATGGAGGAGCAGCAACCCCCTCTCTCCTTGTGAAAGAACTTCATCAATATGTTATGAGTAGGGGAATCAAAGATGTTCAATTGTTTCACATTCATACTGAGGGCCCATTTCCGTTTAACGATCCAGAATGCGCTGGTCATTTTCGTACTAATTCCCTTTTTACCGGTATGTTTGACCTTTGACAATGATTAAAATCATGAATAGGTAGTAATTGTCGGCAGGCTATAAACGAAGGTCGAGCTGATTTCACTCCAATATTTCTCAGTGAGATTCCGCTTCTCTTCCGTCGCAAACATGTGGAGTTGGATCTGGCTATTGTTAGTATCACGCCTCCAGACAGGCATGGGTTTTGCTCCCTTGGACCTAGTGTAGACGTTACCAGATCAGCTATTCAAAACGCAAAATTCATTGTTGGTGTGTTTGTCATGTAATATTCTTTATCGTTTTGCTCAGGTCAAGTTAATCCTCATATGCCACTAACACGCGGTGATGCTAGCATACACGTGAGTAATATTGGTGTTCTTATGCACGGACCACAACCATTGCACGAGACAAAAGCAAGGAAAATTACTGAGGTCGAGCAGCGAATTGGAAAGTATATTGCCGAGGAACTAGTTCCTGATGGCGCTACAATGCAGATGGGTGAGTATTACGCCATAACTCATTTCCCTCTCCTTTGTTAATCTTCTTTGATCTCAATGCTTTCGCTCTTTTAGGCATCGGGTCGATTCCAGATGCCGTTTTGTCTCAACTAACTAATCACCAGCACCTTGGTGTGCATACGGAGATGTTTTCTGATCGGCTAGTCGACTTAGTGAAACTCGGTGTAATCACGAACTCCATGAAGAAGATGCGTCCCGGAAAGATTGTCACTAGCTTTGTTATTGGCACCAAGAAATGCTTTGATTTTCTTGATAACAATCCTTTTGTGGATATGTGCGATATTGCCTGGGTCAACTCGCCTGTCATAATTGCTCAAAATCCTCGTCCCATGGCAATTAACTCATGCATTGAAGTCGACCTAACGGGTCAGGTGGTGTCTGATTCTATTGGGTCGCGAATCTATTCCGGTAATTACTTGTCATTTTGCTTTACAAGCATTTGCTTAGGTGTTGGTGGACAGGTGGACTTTATTCGAGGTGCAGCTATATCGACTGACGGGGAGGGTAAACCTATTATTGCATTGCCCTCGGTTACTTCGAAAGGGGAGTCAAAAATTGTGCCCTTCTTGAAAGAAGGAGGTGGAATTGTTACTACTCGCGCACATGTTCACTATATCGTGACAGAGTTCGGAATTGCCTATCTGTTTGGACGGAATCTGCGTCAGAGAGCTTACGCACTCATCAATATCGCACATCCTGATCATCGGTTTGTTTTTTTCTGTTATAATTTCTCATTTCTCATTTTTTGTATCCATTCCCCCTTTTCTTTTAGGGAAGCGCTAGAAAAGGCAGCTTTTGAACGGCTAAAAGTAATGCCTTCGCCCGATTAAATGGGTTTCACTTGGCTGGCTTCTTGGAGATTCACTACCTCTCCAGTCCTCATTAAGCGCCGTATTTTGTAAGAATCGTAAACATTTTTGAATAGTCAGCGCCTTATTTCCTTAGCTTGTTAGTAGTCATTCTTAGAGCAGAGACATATCCATTAATCCCATTGTGAGTAGGGCGAACCCTACTACATAACTTCTTATCCGAACTAGTCGCCTTTTCTTGAGGTTTTGATGGGCCTGTTCTCATACCAACTGAGATTTACAGGCTATAGAAAAAATGTGCCTAATCTGGAGATTATTTCTGTTGCGCAATTCTTCAGGGTGACTTAACCAAATGCCGTAATCTTAAAAACGGAATGAAGTTTGTGGGAAATTCGATATGACGTGAGAACTCGCGAAAGTTAATTACTCGTATGCATGGATGCGTCCTTACATTTTAGCACTTCCCAACCGTATGATTTTGTGATAAATCCGCATTGTATAGCTTTTCATATGGTATTTGCCACTTTCGTACGATGGGGATGGATTTCGCCTGTGTCCCCATTTTGTGTTATGCGGCGGGGCTTGTTTGCGGCCTCATTTATGATAAGCGACAGATTTCGCCAATCAACGTCCCATAATCGAACGGAGTATCGTTGGCTACCTACACGTGTTTCCACGCCCTTTTTGCATCTGTAGGCCGTGCATTACGCCTGTTTCTGTCACGGTGTGCCTCGTCTTGTGCGTGTGCGCCGGCACTCGTTTGGCGAGTTCGATTTGCACAAAGCACACGCACGCACCCCCGACGGTGGTGGATGGCGCTTGACTAGGCGCATGTCGATCGTACCCCAGATAGACCCTAAGTTTGTTGGCATTTACTTCACTCACATTGCCACGGCCTCTTAACCCTCTTTAAAGGTATTTGGGGATCATGAAT